TATATATATATATATTTTATTTGGTACTCTGCATATAGGGTTGTCAAAATGACTCGTTGTTCGCGAACAACTTGCGTTCGGCTCATTAAAAGACCCGTGTTCGGCTCGTTCGCTAAGTTAATGAGCCAAACACGAACAAAGATTTGTTCGTTCGTGTTCGGTTCATTTTGGCTCGAATTAACTCATCAATTATATATATATTGATGAGTAGTATTTTAAAAAAATTTAAAAAAAATTTAATTGACTACAATGCTACAAAGATTGATAATCAATTAAAAGTATTAATTAAGAAAATAGAATAAAAAAATTATTAAATTAGATTCAAATGATGTTTAATACAAATAATAATTTTTTAAATTTTGTCGCCGCAATCCCTAACATCTTATGACTACGTGATTAGGATCGTCAAAACGACTCTTTGTTCATGAACGTCTCGTGTTCGGCTCGCTAAGCAAACAAGCCGAACATGAAAACACTTTTTGAGCTCGAAATAAAAACACTTTTTGACTCGAAATATAAATAAGCTGAACATCAGCTGAGCCTGGGCTCGCTCGTGTTCGGCTCGCTTACAACCTTATGGCATTACCCTATCATAAATCAAACTTAAATACTTCAAGCTGCCTCCCCTCATATGAAAAAGGAAAAATCTACAAAAACCTCAAAAACTTCAATCCAATGCGTATCCGGACCCACAACTTTTAAAAGATATGCATGGTGTAATTTAATTTACATTTACCCTATGAGAGAGAGAGAGAGAGAGAGAGAGAGAGTTAAAGGAACAGGTCCCCTATGGCAAGCACTATGCAGGCTCTACATCAAGGACCACTTGAACCACACTAACACTGTCCTTCACCGCTGAGATCTAAAGAAGCCAGCAGCTATAAAGAGCCTTACAGTTACTCGGTACAGATTCATTATTCATCAAGTTTCCACCATGGCTGAGCTACAGACATATTAACTGATAGTAACACTTGCATGAAAGCTAGAGAAAGAGAGAGATGGAGAAAAGAAGAAAAAGAGATGGTGACTGACAAGTGCTCCTTGCTGCTGCTGATGGTGGCTTTTGGTTTCTTAATAGCAACCAAGTACCACTGCTACAACCAGAAGCTCCATTGTTTTCCCATCTAAATATGTTCATCTTAGACTTTATCTCACTTACTCAAACCAAAGGCACTGCCATAGGACAACTTACTATACTTATATAGAGTTCCTCACATGATTTTCAGGGACAGTCCTAATAAAATTGAGAAACGATGCTTTAATTTAAATTAAAAGAAGAGTTTTATTGTTGAATCTTGATATGTCTGTGAATCAATCTTCAAGGATTAGAGCTAAGATAAGAGAGAGAAAAGTGTACAGTATCGAACAGTGAAATATCTTGTTTATCTCATAAAATGATCACTAATTATAGGGGAAGAGATATAATTTGTAAAATTACATGTTTATTAACGTTTCAATTAGGACGTTACAAGACATCCTAGGTAATTTATATGTATGGAACTTTGGCTCGACTACCATCTGATTTCGACGACTGAGTTCGGTGGGCATTTCGTTCGATAAGGTCATTTTGTTATGTTGAGTTGAGATTTGTGGTCGGAGATGATCTTTGAGTCGGCTGGACTGGCTCGATTGATGAGACTTTGTTGATCAGTTGATCAAGTATGACTGTCGACCTTTAGCCCCTAGTGAGAAGCTCCTATTGATTGAGGGATGTTGGGTAATTGGGCGAAGGGTAATTAAATCACCGTAACCTTGTAGGTAGCTCACTCCCTAACAAAGAGAGCTTGATGGATGATTTAAATATCTTGTGACATGCATGGTTACCTCTTAATCTCTGATAAATAGCCTCTGGGCATCCGTGAGATGATTGACGGTATTGAGGAGCTAACTCTTTCCTCGAGTCTGGTCGAAAGGTTGATTGCTTGCATCGATGGACTTTCTTATGTCGGTTGCGTTGCATGCCATTGTCCTATCTTGGCTCGATTAGTTCAGGTTCGTACCATACGGACTCCTTTACTTTTGCAGACTTTGGCTCAGTTGATTGCATCCAATCGTCTTTGCCTTTGACTTCGATTCAGAGTGCTACTTTCGGTTAAATAAATGAGCTTCCTGGTCTTCTGCTGATGGGCTCTCATTAATTGTACTTTTTGTTTCGCCTAAACCGTTAAATCTCCTTGAAATTCGTGCTAGCACATATTCTCGATGTATATTTATATGGTCGAAATTCATTTTAAGATTAAAATGGGGGTAATTTGCTGAAAATTTCATGGAGAACCCCGATTCGTGTTGTCCATTTCTCATAATTATCAGTCAGTCGTGGAATAAATGAATGCACTCGTGATTTTTTTAATAAATGTTAATTTCATATATGGTTAAATTTCATGTAACGTATGGATAATTTTGTCCAAAGAAAAAAAGATATGTAAACATGTCGCTCGCACAGAAAAAGTCTGTTTCTAAAATTATACATATTCTTATACAAATAAAAAAATTATTTCAATGACCTTTTTGATTTACAAATAAGGACAATTTGTTGACACAAAAAATAAATAAATAAACATTCATATATACACAAAGCAATAATTTTAGGCATTTCTCATGAAATCTTACAAGTTTGAAGTAAGAATTTTGTCCCCACACATCAACCAATTTCACCCTCCCTTACAAAAAAGGTAATATACTTCAAATAAACTATAAGGAAGAAATTCATGCAGAATAAATTAAAAATTGCACAAACAAAATCATCCAACGCTTTGCCTATTTCAATGGAGCCACCCGGCAATAAAAAACCCCACATAATTATATATAATTTTTTTTGTAAACAGCAGTCTAAAAAGAATTGTAATTAAAGAAAATTAAAGGGACAACAGAGAATTAAAAATGGTCCCATACATATATGTGAACAGCAATCTTCACCCTCCCATACAAAGCCAACACTCTACTAATGGAAACTACCTATAGAAAGCCAAAAACACTTCCCTCCTAAGCCAAAAACCATTGTTACTCCTCTCTTTTTCTTCTTCAAGCCCTTTGAGAGAAGAAAGAGAGTCCCACAAAAGAAGAAACTGGTCTCCCTCTCCTCCTCTCTTCCCTCTCCAAACCCTAGATGAAGTAGATCCAATCTATAGAAGCCCTACATAGAGGAAAGCTTCCCTCTTTGTCTCTCAAACTCAAGCATGAGTCAAAAAGAAGAGAAAATATTGCATCTGGACACCGCAAGTCCAATAGAGACACATGACTTCATGAATGTGAGCTCGTTCTCTCAGCTCCCCTTCATCCGTCCCACACAAACCAAAGACAAGCCCCCCTCCTCCTCCTCAGCCACAGCCCCCGCCGCTGCCATCAGACTCTTCGGCATCGACGTTCCACACGACCACACCATCGCCACCACCACCACCATCACCGCTGCCGCCGCCACAACCTCCCATGGCATTAGCCGAAAGTTCGATTGCCACTACTGCGGTCGAAGCTTCCCTACATCACAAGCTCTTGGAGGCCATCAAAATGCCCACAAGCGCGAGCGAAAGCACGCCCAGCGCGCACAATTACAATCAGCCATGGCTACGGCGCACCACCGTACTTCGCCTTTTGAACACCACCATATCTACCATAATTTTAGCCCATTTTCAACATCTCGCTTCTCCTCCTTCCTCTCTAATGGCTACCAGTACTCCAACTATTCGCCGCCCATTCATGGGAGTCCTCTACCTCCATTGTGGAGAGCTCGGGCGCCGGTGCGAGCCGAAATTAGGCCATTGATTCCTTTTTTCGGCGGAGATGGAGACTCTTCTTCTTCAACTATTTCTTCTATATCTCCACAAAATCGCTTGGTTTGTGAGACTGTAGATGGAGGTAAGGAAAATGTGAGCCTTGATCTGCACCTCTAGAGGATTTTTGGCTGACAAATTAATAATTGCCAAGATTTAATACATTGTTTTCATATTGTAAATCAGTTCATTCTTGTATCTTTTCTTTAATTTTGCAAGTCTAGCTACTCCAATTATTCTTTTTTTTTTAATTTAAGTAAATTATTTCCTTCTATTTCTTCATTTTTTCCAATTCTTAATATTAGGATATTTGCTTGTAGTTATAAATACTTTATGTAGTACATTTTTTTAATAATATTTAATGATAGGCGACTTTATTACATAAATAAGTAGATTATTCATTTTCATATACTTTATTTCTTGACTTGCATTTGGCTAGACAGACACATGATTGTGAAAAAGGAGTTAAAGTCAGCTTTAATTTATATATGTTGCATAGGAGCATGCCTTTATATGTTGCTGATTGGAGGACTGCATTTACTGTAAATTTTCTGAATAGTATGGCATCTTAATCATTACATTATGTAAAAGTCACAAAATATTTGAGATGATTGCTCTCATACTCATATTGTAGTTTAAATGGACGCATGATTTTTACCAATACAATCAAAATATGAATAGCAGCCACCGCACGATGGTTAAGATTTAAAGGTAAATAAACATGTTTTGAAAATTATAATGCCATTTTAATGTATTTAAAGGTAAAATGTATGACTAGTATAGCTTGGCTATGATTGGCATTCTAAGTATCAGTGTTGTACATATGCAATGTTGCTTTAGCTTTATAATTTTTTGAAGGAAAAAAAATGTTTCTCTGATCATATATTTTATTTATTGTAGTATCAGCACAAGATCAATTATAAAATTTTAAACTCTCGGAGAAGATGAAATGACAATATGAAAACATGATTTATTATTGATGAATTCTGATTTGTCCATGAATCAAGCCCCAAGGAATAGAGCGTAAGGGAGGAGGGAGAGAGTAGTGAATTGTGATATGTTTTGGCTATTGACCATTTCTCATAAAATGATCTCTAGTGGGGAGGGTACAATATAGTGATATCACATTTTTGTCTTTGCTTTGATCGGGGTTGTATAAGATATTCTAGATATTTTACATATACGAGTCGATTGCTCGTTTGCTCTTTGACTCGGTCGGTTGGGCTAACATGGCTTTAGCTCGGTGAGGCTAATGCGATCGGCTAGGATAGTTGATGTTACTATATTGGTCGGTTGAGCTTGGTTAACTTTGATCGATGGGATTAACTTAGTTGGATAGGCTTTCTCGATCGCTTGATCTTTTTTGGTTGTCGACCTTCTGTCCCTCGAAGAGGATGAGGAGCTATGGTCAATAGAAAGAGATTAAGCTATCGATCAGATAGTGAATTATCGTAATTTGATAATAATTCATTCTTTAACGAGAGAATCATGTGGGATGATAATGAGACTTTATTGCAATGCCAATTTTTTGTTTCTAATGAGGAGCCTCATGTGTTCATGGGATAATTGGAGATTTTGAGGAACTGGACTCTTTCCATTGGTTAGATCTATTGGAAGATAGGTCAGTGCCTTCCATGGGCATTCTTGCAATGGCTAGGTCAGGTGTTTACTATTTTGTTTTAGTCGAATTAATTGAAACTCAGATCGCTCATTTTGTCTGTCTCATGGCTCAGTCGACCTTCAATCTTGACTTGGATGGTTATATCCAATCAAATAAGTAGATCTCTTGGTCTCTCATCAACGGACCCTCCTTTGTTGTGCTTTTTCTTCTCAACCATCGGATCTCCTCGAAATTTGTGCTGGCTTTTCTGATGTGTTTTTATGTTGATGGGTCACAAGATTTTGAAAGCCATGGAAGCAATATGCATTTATTACCATTCACAATCTAAATAATAAATATTTGATAACTTATTGAGGCATTAAGTTGTGTTAGAAATACCTTTATGGCTAACTCTTTATGAGAGATAAGAGACAACTAGGCTGGATATAGATGCATCAACTAAAGGGTCTAAGAAAAAAAAATTGGATCTCAATTCTTATGTATTTACATCTCTAACATCTATACTTCCATTTTCCCAAACATGTCAACTTATGAAAGGTGTATTTCACATTTTAAAATTAAAGCAGTGATATTTTTTATACGATATGAAAGATTCGGATGATATAACTGTAAAAAAAGAAAGTTGATGCCTAATATATGCAAATACATAAAATTGGACGGTATATATGTAAATGCCTTTTTTTTTTTTCTTTTGGAACAAAAGAAATTTTTAAACCTACACACGTTGATTCTTAATGATATAACTTGGTTGCTTAAATTTAGGGAAAATTTATTGCAAAAATATTGATTTTTGTAGACTAATGCATCATTATTTCAAACATATAAGTTAAAAATCAATATCATTTTCAAGCTCTATAAAAATCTCTAAACTCAAACATAAATTTCAGAAATTTACAAAGTGCGGCCAATCATCTTAAACCTTCTTTCAAAATGACAAGAGAGTTTTGGCCTCACAATTGATTTCAACCGTACAAAAGTAGGATTTTTTTTTTCTTCTTTACACCTAATAGCTTTAAAGCTCTTGCATGGTTAACAAAGTGGCAGGTAAATGTAAAGTTGGAGGTGTTGTGCTTCTGCTGTATATGTTGGGGTCAGATGTTGCAGGAGAATGCAGCCAAAAACTAAACTGTAAATACTGATTCAACTGCTATCATATTCATGTCCCCTAATAGCTACAGATCATTGAATGTCTTGCAGCATATGCCTTTCTCTGTATTAAAATATAGCACGGAAATGCTTCATTATATGTGACACATGGCTGCATGCATGCCCACAGAGATAGAGGGACAGAGATCATTTCCAAAGAAAAACTTATTTCATTTCCGAGAGGGAGGCCCAGAATGTGCGTTTGCGTATGATATACATGAAGTTTGGGGTTAATACAAGATAATAAAGTACCTGAGATGCGCAGTACTTGTGATGCAGGGAACAATCTATTACTATTTATAAAGGTTGTGGAGGCGAAGCAACAGTAGAAAGACTGTTGTGGATTTATATGTAAATTATGTGTTATATTGTAAATTATTTCATGTCACTAGCATAAGTCCAATAGATTTCGGGTGTACGGACCTTAGGTGTGTAAATGAGCACAGCCTGCTCGAGCTGATCGAGCCGGGAGCTAGAGGTTGTGATCAAATTTGAGCTCATTTATTAAACGGGCTTGAGCTCGAGCTAGAGTTTGAGCTCGAACTCGTCGCTGCTTAGCTCATTGCCACATGAATCGAGCCGATTAGCCAATGGTTTAGGGTTTAGGATTTCGATGCGTTTTATGGTATGCCACTGTTGCATCCTCCTCCGGGCTGCGACGAACTCCCATAAAAAATGAATTTTTAGGTCGAGCTCACAAGTCTGCCATCGCCAGCACTTCGAGACGACATATATCAGTTTTGAAAAGCTTTTTTGGGAAATTTATTTTTATTTTTTTTATCTTGGAGGTTTAATGCAATTTTAATTTCTTAAAAAAAAAATTTATGGGGGCATTTGCATACATACCACTCGATTCCTATGTATTTACGGATCTAACATCTAAACTTTGCCTTTCACATTTATACCACTCAAATACTTCATATCACATCAAAAACATCATTATTTCAACTTATAAATGCCGAAATACACCCCAATTCTCATGCATAGGTAATGCGCATGGTATGTATGAAAACTTTGAAGTTTAGGTGTTAAATGTGTAAATACATGGGAATTGAGTGGTAGGTATCTAAATCTTCTAAAATATAAATGTAGCTAGAAAAAATTTGGCTTGGTTGCTGAATAAAAACTTTTGTAGAGATTTTAACCGCTGCTATGATGAAATTGTTTTAAATAACCGGTTGAATCCTAAAATATCCTTCAAATAAAACATGACTCTAGAGTTGGAGCTAAGAAAAGGAGAGTAAAAGAGAGCGTAGATCCAACAAAGAATTCTGATGAGAGAATTTTGGGGGAAAAGTTTACAGAAATGAGGGAACGGTTATGAGAACCGTCTTTAATGCATTTATTGCGCTAATTTAATTCAAGATTTGTGTTGTCATTTAAGTGTAATATAACGATCACTAGCGGGTTGATGTCTTTTAGTTCGGTCGACTAGGGTAACCGGTTATGTGGGGTTCGCTCCTGTAGAGGCAAAGTCGGTCGCTCGACTAGTTGTGATCAGACGCTCTTGACAGAAGTTTGGGTGGCTGAAGTCATCGAATGGTTGGTTCAGACTATGCTCCTTGGCATTGTCGCTTCAATTGTTCAGTCGCTATCTTTGGACGTTTGATTGCTTTGAAATTTATCCCAATAATGTTGGCGAATACACAACCATAAATAGAAAAGGAAAGCTTATTTTTTTTTTTTTTTTTTTTTTTTTTTTTTTTTTTTTTTTGTAATTTTTTTGCTAGCAAAATGATGTCTTGGGCAGGAGTTTTTGTGACATGGCACCCATTATTTGATAAATGCTATTTATATCCATTATATAATGAGCTGATTTCAAGGTTATGTTCAATAATTTATTTTATCAAAGTAATAGATGGATTAATTTTTGCTTACTTAGAAATATATAAATGTGTTGAAGTTATTATTTCAATAAAAGGTTATATGAATAAAATATTAAAAAAAAGGATTTTGAAATAAAATTGAATTTCATGATTATCCGATATATTATGAATGTTATATATATATATAGGTTTATGAAACCAAATCATTATATGTAAATATAAATGAGTGCGTTTTCTGTCCGAACTCCTGACGTCGCTCTACGTGCGGCTGAGATTATTCTTGACTTATTTTCAGGTTATTTTGGGATTATTGAAAAAATATAAATGAGTACATTTTCTGTCTGGACTCCTGACTTCGTTCTACGTGCAGCTGAGATTATTCCTGAGTTATTTTCGGGTTATTTTCAATAATCCCGAAATAACCCAAAAAGAACCAAAAATAAAGACCATGGGTTATTTTTGGGTTATTTCGGGATTATTGAAAATAACCCAAAAATAACCTGAAAATAACTCAGGAATAACCTTCGCCGCATATAAAGCTATGTCAGGAGTCTGCACAGAAAAATTAGGCATATAAATATCAAATT